GTCTCTTGACGCTACCTTGCTCTACTAAGCAGCATTATCAGTGTCATTGTTACAGTTGGTGTGAACAGCAGTCACCTTGAAACATTTATTGTCATTTTGTGCTTATTCACTTCCGATCAGTCGAGTGGCAGCAAGAGCAGTTTGATGGCCGATTGCAATTGCGCCTTTGCGCCTTTGCGCCTTTTATCAGTCATAGTGCAGCTATCGAATGGAGCAAGAAACGTGGCTCTAATTGTTTTAGGGTCTATAAGTCATAAACGCTTGGCACTTGGCCTGAACGCTGACTGATAAATGTATCTCCAAGTGTTTCCGATTTGATAGAAGGTAACACAATAGGCAGACTCGTATGGCTGCTTATCGATAACAACAATCTCTGAAATCATGAATTGTCGTCGTTTGTTTCTTTTGTTGATCTTGGCCACTGGCTGACGCTGTGTGCACTTTGCAGCACCCACCTGAGTTGCATACTTGAAAGCTGAAGCCCACAGACTTCCTGTGAGTGGAGTGGAGTGGATTGGATTGGTGTGGCGTGAAGTGAAAGACTTTTGTGCTGGCCCTCCTACGTGCCTTAAATGTGATTCTTGTTGTTGTTGTTGTTGTCAATATGTGGGCGTTAGCTGCATTCACAGCGGATGCTAATGAGCATGACTAGACTTATGCCAGCCTGATTGCTATTTGTCGTTGTTGCGGTTGCTGCTGCTGTTGCTGTTGCTGCTGTTGACAGCCCCTCAGGGGCGTTGTGCCGAGGCGTTGCAGATGCGCTGCAAACTGCAAAGCAGCAGCTGCTCTTGGCCAACTAGTGACAATGCAGCAAGCTTCAACAGTTGCCATTATATTCCCTCAACCACTTTTAACTGCCCATAGCAATAAATGTGGGCAACTGCCACACACTAGGCTCCAGCTGATAAAAGCACATGAATTGACAAATATCTACTGAAGAACTATTATGTCAGAGTCTCTGTTAAGACTTAAAGTTAAGCCAAGTTAAATAGCAAATTGAAGCCTAGAATAATATAATTTACCTTGACTTCAGACTCGCTTAACGCTGGCTCAACAAATTTTGCCTTTGTTTTGGCTTATAACAACGAGCTAAATTGGCTTGTCGCCTTTGCTTTAGCTAACAATAGCGAAACAAATAATAGCACCACTCTGCAAATATGCATTTGAAATGAAATGAAATCATGGTATGCGACATTTATCGTTTATCGAAGTATTCTATCGATATATTTAAAGCTCTAGCTAGTTATCGATAAGTTGAATGTTTATCGAACTATTCACAAAACGTTTATCGCAGCTATTTATCGATTAGTGCCAGACTCTTCTCACTTATCGTTTATGGCAACTCGACTAACGGTATATTTGAAGACATAGCACATTTATCGTAAATTAAAGCTGTCTATCGATAACTCTTAGGGCACTAAATTGCATGTCCATAAACTTATGGACAGCACTTCATATGTCGATATATTTTTAGACCTACTCATATTTATCGTTTATTGAAGCTATATAGATATTGTGGCTATAAAGCCAATCTATCGATATATATTTCTTATCGATTTTATTATCAAGCACTCAAACACTTTAATTAGCTGCACAGAGCTCAACGCCCTCAATGCCAAATGCAATCAGCAGCTGACGTTTTCAGCCTTTGTTTGCGGTTTGAATTGAAATTGTATACCGTTATAGTCCAAAGACCGACAGCTAAGAGTTAAGAAGAAGAAGAACTTGGCCATTGATGAAACGGAACAGATTTTTCGCTTAACCTTTTGCAGCGGCGCATTGTGAGGGAAAACTTCTGAGCCATTGTGTTGGCGTTGCCAAAGTTGTCAATGGCTGTGATTAAAGCTAGAGTCGCAGATGTTTATCTCTGTCTCGCTCGCTCTCTCTACCTCTATTTAGCGCTACTTCTATGTGCAGCTGTCTCGCTCACTCGCAGGTTTCACTGTGACGGATGTCGCATATTTTTGGCACTCTGATTTGTCTGTGCATGACAAACACACACACCAACACACACACTGACACACATGTGTCTCTTTTGTGTGTGTGTTGAAATGCCGTAATTCTCTCAGCCGGCAGCTAATTTAGTGTTTCCTGCTGACAACTGCAGTTTAAGCTTCAAAGACAAAAGCAAACCATGACATGATAAAGAAAGCACAGAAAAAGCAAACCACAGAGAAAGACAAAGAGAGAGTGGGTGAGAGAGACAGAGAGAGAAAGTGAAATTAATTGCGAGAGTTAAGTTAATTACAACAACAACAACAACAACAACAGCAACGAGCACGCACAATATGTGTTCCGATGGGCTGTATCAAAACTGTTCTATGTGTTGTAGTATCTCTCATAAATTGTACAATAAATGTTGTTGATTTTTGTACAAAAAGAGAAAAAAAAACATGCGAGGCAGGCGGTGACTCGTGTTTGCTGTTGTTGTTGTTCTTGTTTGAAAATAGACGACATCCGGTCTGAACAAAAAAAAACACTGCATATATATATATATATATATATATATATATATAAATCATATTTTTAGATAAACGTAAACGTTGATACACACCAACAGCAACACCAACACAAAGGCAAACACAACACACAGAGCGTCGAGGCGTTGCATGATTGAGTTGCTCTTTTGTCATTACCAATCATATTTTTATATTCGAAATGCATTTCGTTTTGGACTTAAGTGTATCAAATATGATAGTGTACATATATATATATAAATGTGTATATATTTATAGATGTATATATAGAACTCTTAACCCAGTTTCCTGCTGCTTGAAGAGCAGAGCACCAAAGTGCACTGAGAACTGAACTATAAAGCTATGGACTTAATTCACCGACTCTATAGTTAGATATATAATAATAGAGCATAAATCGATATGCTTCGAATGCATATATACATTAATATGTACAAGTAAAATGAATCATTTTGGAGTCGAAGTCAGCGCTGCCTAGAAGAATGCTGTGCAAATGTAAGAAAATTGAACAAAAGTCTATAGAAAGCTTATGTAAATGTCAATTGCATTGCAATCGAACATTAAAAAGAAATTAAAAATGTTATCGATAACTATTTTAGGGCTTGCTCTTCCAATGAAAATGTAAGCAAGTGCATCAAAATTCTATACAATGCTTAGACTTGATATAAATATCAATTGCAATGCAATGCTTAAGCAATCGATAATTAAAAAGCAATTAAAACTGTTATCGATAACTCTTCTTTTGCTGAAAATGTAAGAAAATATAACAAAATTCTATACAAAGCTTAAACTTGACATAAATATCTATTGCATTAATCAATCGATCATTAAAAAGCAATTAGAAATGTTATCGATAACTATTTTAGGGCTTGCTCTTTCAATGAAAATGTAAGCAAGTGCAACAAAATTCTATACAATGCTTAGACTTGATATAAATATCAATTGCAATGCAATGCTTAAGCAATCGATAATAAAAAAGCAATTAAAACTGTTATCGATAGCGCTTCTATTGCTCAATCTGGCAGCGCTGGTTACGAAAATGGCGTGGAAATGAAACTAAATTAACACACTTAATGAAAATTCGACAAGCGGACTAGAACTGAAAACGGAGCGTATGAGTAATCAACGACAGGAAATGGTGACAAATGCGACCCCTTTCCCCACTCTCTCTCTCTCTCTTTCTGTCGCTCCCTCTCTATCGCTCTCGCTCTCGCTCTATGTATGTAAATGTGTTGTAGCTATTTGCACCGATAGCAACAAGCCAAAAACGACGAAAAAAAAGAAAAAAATTTCAATAATTTATTTGGTTTGAATGAAATACGAACGAGAAGCAAACGGGCGACGTGGCCGCCATTGGGGCGCCCACAGGAAACGTTGACGCCGACGCTGGCTGCGCGGTCGATGTCAGCGTTGGCTTGGCAACAGTTTCCTGTGTTTAATTTGTTGTTGTTGCTGTTGTTGCTGCTGCTGTTGTTGTCGCTAAGTGCAAACGAGTTACGACAACAAACATATTACAATTTGGTTCAATGACTTTGCCCAG